AGTTGGCCATGTTTTCATGAGGGTAAATAACTGATATACTTACAACTATTCTGTACCCATACAATCATTCTGTTTTTACTTATATTCATGTAATTTAATATTCACTAAATTATTTTTTAAATTGAATTAAATTACTATTTAATGAATACTAAATTACATGAGATTTTCAACACTTGATTATAAACAGGCCTTGTGTTAGATGATTTTGCCCAACTGTAGGCTAATGTAAGTGTTCTAAGCACATTTAAGGTAAGCGAGGCTAAGCTATGATCAGTAGGTTTCTACTTATGATATCTTCAATTTTCTATGGGTTAATCACCAGAAGTAATGTGATATTAGAATATTTAAAAATGTTGAAATAATGTACAAAGGATATTAGGGAGAAAAGAAACATAATTCAAAAATTCTAGATCCAGCCAAAATATGCATATATGAGGGAAACATAAAGACTCTTTTGGACATGTATAGATTCAGAAATTATGTAATCAATTTACCCAAGAAAATTATTTTAGAAGCAACCTAAAAACTATGAGCTAAAGAAGAATATATGTAAATAATAAGTTTTATAAAATTTTAAATTGAGTCCTATTGGATAATAATAATGATAGATACCGGGAGTTGGCAAATAAGCAATAGGTACAGAATATTTGAAAAAGAAAATATGTATAAAATATAAATATGTAACAGAAGCCTGGAACTAAAACTCTAATATTCATGTATAAAACCTGAACTTTTTGGTGTGGCAAGGGGTATAGAGGTAAGGTGGCTGATGCAGAGACAGGGATAAAGTAAAAGCTTTCAAAAGTTCATGTCTTGGATGAGAGAATAGCTAGTTTTTGATTGTAAGAGATTAATAGGTAAGTATAGATTTATCTGTAACTGTTTAATACGTTAATATAACCACCCATGAAATAGAGAGGCCTAGTAGCATATCCAAATTAAGGCAGTTATGGCAGAAGAGATAGTAATTAAAAAAAAATTAATTAAGCAAGCATAAGGAAAAGTAAAAAAGAGAAAATAATAAATTATATACTTGAAATAAGGATGGAAGGAATATAATCCAATATATTAGTCATTAAATGTAAAATAATCAAATTTCCCTACAAAAAACACAGAGTTTCTTATTGCTTTCAAAAACAAAATCAAGATATATGTTGTTTTCAGGAAATAGACAAAAATAAAGTGACACTGTGGGATACCTGGGTGGCGCAGTTGGCTGAGCATCAGACTCTTGATTTCAGCTCAGTCATGATCTCAGGGTCATGACATCAAGCCCCATGTTGGGCTCTGTGCTGGGTGTGGAGCCTGCTTAAGATTCTCCCTCTCTCTCTCTCTCTCTTTCTCTCCCTCTATCCCTCCCCCTTCTCTCTTTCTCCCTCCCTCCCTCCCTCTCTTCCTCCCTCCCTCATAAATAAATAAACAAACAAATAAATAAATAAAATAAATGACAGTGTTATGGGTTGAAATATGTTCACCTAAAAGATTTGTTGAAGTACTTTGAATGTGACCTTATTTGGAAATAAATCTCTGCAGATATATTCAAGATGAAGTCATTCAAGGTAAGCCCTAATCCAATGTGACTAGCGTCCTTTTAAGAAGAGAAAAGACACAGACACAAAGACTGAGAGAAAAGCACCGAAAGACAGTGGAAGCAGAGATTGAAATGGTGTTGTCTGCAAACCAAGGAGTGCCAAGGACAGCCAGCAGACCAGAAACTAAGAGAAAGGAATGGAACAGATTTGTCCTCTAGAATTTCCAGAAATAGTGCACAGTTCTGCCGACACTTTGATTTCGGACTCATAGGCTCCAAATACCCATGTTTTAAACCACTCAGTTCATGATAATTTATTATATCTGCCCTGGGAAACTAACACATATAAAAAGATCAAAGAGCAAATGGATATATGAGGGAAATGTGAACCAACAGAAAGGCTTATCAGTAAAGGATCAAAGTATTAGACACAGCAGAAGTCAAAGCTAAAAATAGCAAATGGGATATTATATAAATGTAGAAATTACAATTCTCCAAAAGGTTACAGTCAGTATTGAAAAGGCCACAGACTCAGGAGTTTATACTCTGGAACCAGATGCTCTAGAACCTGGCTACAGTTCCTCGCTCTGTTATTGAATGGCTCTGTGAATTTAGAGATACTACTTAAATTTTCTTTGCCTCATTTTCCATATCTATAAAATGAGAATTATAATAACAGTTCATTTATAGGATAGTTATAAGGAATAAATGAATTTATATACGTAAAATATTGTAAAATGAATTAATATCTATAAATGAAGACATATATTAATGCATGATTGAAATAATAGCTATCATAAACACCAAAAGAGTGTCTGCTATTATTCTTTCTCCTATTATTAATATAAAACACTGTATAAAAACTATTCAAGCCACGTGGGATATATAACCAAACCTCAAGAAAAGAAAAACTTTATAAAGTCACTATCATTGTAGAGGATTTTTAGGTAATCACTTTCAGAATTTGGCATAATTTTCCACAAAAGGGCAAGTTGACAGAGGACTGTGTAATACAATCAACAAGGTAAAACACACACTCTGTTCTCTATGAAAAGCAGAAAATGTATTCTGTTTTTCATTTAGAAAATCTGATTATTATGGAGCCAAAAGAAACCCTCAATAATATCCTCAAAAAAAGATTTTTTTATAGTCCCTATTCTCTCTCCATGATCCAAGAAAATTAGAAATCAAAAAATAAAAGGGCCCAAACAATGTAACCATTGTTTTGTTTTAAATAGTAAAAGATATTTACTTTCAAATAACTTCTAGAAAGTACTACTTTTCTCTGCAATAGCGTGGTATATGACAGTCACATGGCTGAGTCCTACTCAGTTGCACTTGCCCCAGAATGGCCACCGACCAGTGGTTCGTAACGAGGGTGGTACTATCTCCTAAGGGAAGATTTAGAAAAGTACAACACTATGTACAGTTGTTACAAAGACTGAGGAATGCTACTGGCATTTAGGGTTTGGGGGTGAAGAATCCTAAAGTTCTACAAAGCCCAGAATACTCTTATACAATATAGAACTTCCATGGTCAAAGTGCCAATAAGGCTCCCATTTTCAAACATTGTTTTAACAGGGACGACAGGGCAAAGACCACAGATGCTTAAGATATTTCCATTTGAAATTAAGTTAGTATCACCCTGGTAAAAAAGTCTTCTATAAAACTAGCAGGCAATTCAGTGTTCAATTTTTCACAGCAAGAACCAAATTCAAGAACTTTCTTTGCTTTTGACAATAATCTGAGAGCATATGAGACTCTTCAGAGATTGCTGCAGAAAGTAATTTTCTTTTCTTACTAAGACTCAAAAAGGGAATTCATATTTATCCACAGAATAGATAGATAAATGGGTAAATAAGTACACAGGGAACTGTAAATCAATTTAATTTGCTATTTGGCTAAGTCAAATTCTGAGCAAACCAAACTTGAGTTATTTACCAGAAGCATCAGTGCTTTTGGCAACTATGTTTTGGCACATTCTTATGTGAAATCAAAATATTGTAACAGTGTTCTTTCCTAGTATTTCTTATGGTACTTAGGTAATGTTCTATTGTAGATAGCATGTGGGGATGAAAATAAAGAGACATGGGCTCTAGTCTTGGCTAGGTGACCTTCTCTGTGTTTACTCACCGATTTAAAATTGGGATAATAGTTTGCCTCATTGGTCTTAAAAGGCTGGGATGCAGAGTAACCGTAAAGTCCCTACAATGGCCTGCCCAACTACTCTGGAACTTGCTCTCCCTCTACCTCTTTGACCTTATTTCCAGCTACATCTTCCCTCTCTTCCTCTGCTGCAGCCACACTGGCTTCCCGGTTGGTCTTTGACTATTAACCTAAGGTCTCAGCACTGACCATTCCCCTCCCAGAATATTCTGTCCCTGAGAGCTTCAGGCTCACTCTCTCACTTCCTTCCTTCCATCAAGTCTCTGTTCTAATGCTACTTTCATCAGAGAGAGGTAAGCTATATACCATCCTATGAAACTTTCTCTTTTGCTTTATTTATTCTTTGACATAGGGATGATCTACTGAGTAACATCTCGTTCTAACGTATTTGCTTATTGTCTGTCTCTTCTCTGCTACAAAGTAATCTCAAAGAATGCGAGAAAATTTTCTTTTTCTAATGAATGATATTCTAATAAGTTAGTTTTTCTGAATCACTCTCTCTAAAAATTTAGCGATGTCTTTAGTTGGAAAGTTTATATCTCTACTTTATTTTTTTTCATGTTTATTTTTTTTAAATTATTTATGATAGTCACACACACACAGAGAGAGAGAGAGAGAGAGAGAGAGAGAGGCAGAGACACAGGCAGAGGGAGAAGCAGGCTCCATGCACCGGGAGCCCGACGTGGGATTTGATCCCGGATCTCCAGGATCCCGCCCTGGGCCAAAGCGCAGGTGCCAAACCACTGCGCCACCCAGGGATCCCTATATCTCTACTTTAATGTGAAGTGACGTTACTATTTTATTTTTTATGACATGATATATACTTTCAGACACATAACCAAGAGTGATTTAGAGTAGTATGGGAAGTCACATTTTTCACATCTCTATTATGTCATTTGTCTATCCTAATTATCCCAGTGCTCAAATAGTCAAAGTGTGCACTATTTTGCATACTATTTCCTTGGAAAGATCGCATATGCCCTCTCTTTGGAAGTGAATTTTTTTTCTTCCCTAAAAGCAACATGTTGTATTTCACAACTTAAACATGTTACAAGCCAGGTGGGCCAAGAAGCATGTTACTTGCTCTGATAAAAGTTTTGAAATGGGTCCTTTTATTAGTCATGCTTGTGTGTGTCCCACTATGAGGAAAGGTTGAGTCCCTTTCTTAACCATTTTATATTTCTCTAATACTTTGTACATAACGGAAACTCCAAAATTGTTAACTTATTGAATATAGGCATTTGCACAATGACAAGCAGCCCCTCCCTTCTTAAACAGAAATCAAGTAAGGAAGAGTACTTACACTTAGAGCCTGATGAAGATGACCCACTGACGGTAGATCTCGATCCCCCTTTCATGGAAAAGACTCCTTTTCCCCTGCGAGTCGTTGTGACAGCCACTCTGGGACGCTTCAGTGGAATCACTGCACGGGGGGGTGGGGGCACACGCCCATGGTAATCAAATAACCTTCACAAAACACAAGTGTGGCTGAGAGTTGGTTTATGCCTAAGTGTTCTATCAAATGCGTGAAACAATTAGAGAATGGCCTCGTAAAAAAGGTCGATAAATGTTCTTGTTATTGTTGTTCTCACACAGGCATTTATTAGAAACAGGATTCTAATACAGTCTATGCATTCTGGGCATTAGAATCTGACTCTCCAATATCGCCTCATCCTTAAGGTATGAAAGGACAAGGAACTTTGCCCCACAGTACCCGGCAATTTGTTGAAATCATGCTGACCTATGTTCTCAAGTATATTTCTTTGTGCAGTTTAACAGATTTACCCTTCTTAGAATAGAAATCTTCCTCTTATATAGCAACACTTATTAGCATACTAGCTTGAAAAGAGGAAAAGGTCATGCAGAATTAAGGACAAAGCAAAGCAAATTATTGTTCCATCACAAAACAGCTCATAAGGAAAATAATTTTGAAGTAAGTCTAGATTAAAGAGAACTGTGACACACAAATCAACATGGTGCCACACCTGTCTCTAAGGACTTTTTAAGTAGCAAAAGGCTCCTCCAATGTAGAAAAAGGAAGACTGGGTTTGAATAGAATGGCACTATGCTGGTATTAGAGTACCGGTGGAAATAGGTATCTTTTTATTATTCTGACCATTTGCTAGACATGCAAATTGAGCTAGTGATATTTGTATGGTAAGCTACTGAAAATTTCTTTAACCAAAAAAAAAAAAAACTACCAATAAAAATTCTAGAAGCTTACTAAAAAGTGAAAAATGATATTCAGCACAATCAATGCATTTCCACTAAACGAGAGGCATAAAAGTATGGGAATATTTACTCTTTTATATAAATATGTAATTCATAGATTCAAAAGCTTCATATTATTCATACTACATACTCATACACAAATTTTTTGCACACTTAGCACATTTGAGAAACATAAAAGGTCAGAGAAAAAATATGAGCATATATTTACTCATTTGTTTATTTATTTATTTATTTAAATAAGTTACTTTTTTATTGGTGTTCATACTCACTCATTAAAAAAAAAACAAAACTATTTACCCGTGAACCAGTGTGTTATCCACTATAAAGAGAATTGTGTTATTGACTTAGAATGATCATTGATACTACTTTATTGTGACACCATTATATGGATTACATTCTCATAATTGTTTTAAAACAGTCAATATGAATAATCTATATGAAAGTCAGAAATGAATTTCAAAAATAGGAAGAAAACAGTTTCTGTAATAGGCCATTTTATAAAATTACATCTTATTTATGCATACAGATGAATCCCTTTTTAGAAAATAATATATGAAATATAACAAAAATTGAGATAGGTGCAAAACATTCAAAACTATGATGCTATGGAGGTAAAAACGTAGTATCTAAACCACACTTCAAGCTGAACTTAGTACTGGGAATGTCTCCTACTTTAGAGAGCTAAAGTGTTCAAAAACTATTTGGAAGCATGCTGGGGAGAAACTAAGAGATGTCTGGAAAGGAAAAGAAATGAAATGAGACAGAGTTCAAGAGAGGTGCCATCCTCTGTGAATAAGCAAAGTCCATTAGAGCCGAAGAACTGCTAGCAAAGAACAGGTCATGGATGTCAACACATTATAGTTTACTTCAAAGAGTATAAGCAGGATGAAGCTGAAAAGGGTTATGAATATCATCCATACCACTAGGGGCTGGAAATCAAAAGGGTCAACTAAACCTGCCCCTCATTTCAATCACAAAACAAGGACTACATTACTTATTTATAAGTTGAATTCACACAGCACCTTAAGCTAGTGAAGCAAAATACGAAGGTACTTTTTATGAGCTATAACACCCAAAGCTACTGAGGGCGAAAAAAAAATATGGCAATTGACTCATCTCTTCCAGCATAGATGCTGCTGCTTCAGATGAAAGGCAAGCTCTTTTGGAAGGACCATTTCCCCAGGCCATGAAAGTGCAATTTAGCTGGTTCATTAATTAAGCTAATCTATAAGTAGGGTTAAGAAAATTTCAAAAGCACAACTAAAATATACAGCGAACTAAGAAAGTCATAATGAAAATGCAGGCCAAGTAAAGCCACCGTATTCACCACTACTTCAGCCACTATGTAATTCAAGAATGTTTTACAGGAGAGTGAAATGTTTATCACTATTTCTATTGCTTCCCGCAGCCAAGGATTATAAAGCCTCCCCCCGTGTTGGCCAGGCCTAATCTTATGTCGAGAAAACAGAGCTGCATTCGTTCACTGTATTTGTGACATACTTTTAGTCTGCGACATACATTTTAGTCACACACTCCGTATATGTCGTGTCCTTTGCTGTCAATTCCTATAGAGCATAGCCCTTGTTCTCTGGATATTTTGGTGAGTTGCTTTAAAGGGCAATAAGTTTTCCTCATCAAGGAATCAGGTAAGGTTTTACAAATTCTTTTTGCCACTCTGATGGGAAAGATATGCAGTATCAGAACTTATATTTTAAAAAGGGATGTGTCATTTACAACACCCCCCCCCCAAAAAAAAAAACAACTAAATAAGGATATGGGCACTTCACATGACAGTGTTATTCTGGATTTTACACAATTTCATGGAGTCGAGGCATTGGTTCAATTTTCATTGGCTACACTCGAGTTTACCAGAAATAAAAGGAAGGAAGACTGGGTATTGTTCTAATGCACAAAACCTTAACCAGGCAAGGATGGGAAGCAGAGGCAGATTTTCTGGAATTCAAGACAGGATGTAGGGGTTCTTCTAAATGCAGAGGGAAGCAGATGGGAGGTAACCCATGAAGGGAGATAGAACCATTGGATTTCTCATCAGAATTCTGTTTACAGAAAATCTAAGAAATTTTACCTTTATAAGGTGTTAGATCAGCAAATATTGTTGAGACATAGGAAATAGTCCAGTTAGCATTATAGACTGACAACAAAGATTGCAATGCAACAGAATTAAAAGGAATCCAAATCTCAAAGGTCGGTTAAAAGCTTAAAGTTTCTTCTTTCTTCTTAAGTTTTTGGTTTCTTCCACTCTTAGAATTACATTCCTTCTCCTTTTCTTTAATGGTTCTCCTTTTCTTCAGCAGTACTTCATTTTACCTAATATGCATAGAATACTGTTTTCCCCCTAATATTTATTGGTCAAATAAATAATGATTTATAATGAAGCCAAACACACAATTTTTCCTTCCTCAAGGTCTATTTTAAAATAAGAACCCTAAGAGACCCACTCTCAAGCAGTAAATAAAGTAAATGCAACCAGATTTTACTAAAAACAACCCATTAAAGAAATATGAGGATGTAATTTGCCTTCTTAATAAACATTTCCACTTTTCAAGTGTTCATTTCTTGTTTGGAATTCTGTTTGCTTTAATGATAGCTGAGATATGTAATTTTATTACCTAGCAAAAGGTAAAATCTGGTAAATAATATTTATGTACCTGATAAAAATACACGTAGGTTGTCTCTAGGAGAATATGGATATTTGCTTTTAAAAATTAGCTGTGTTTTGGACAAAGCAATCTAACGGCATATTGGCATATAAAATGAATATACTTTGGAATTCTTGTTTTTATTAAAAGCTTGTTAGTATTAAGCTTAATAATAAAGCAACATTTTTGAAAAAATACACGAAAAAACATAACTCTCTATCTCGTATTCTAAAACAACTATTATATGGAGCACCTGGGTGGCTCAGTTGGTTAAGCATCTGACTCTTGATTTTGGCTCAGATCATGATCTCAGGGTTGTGAGATGGAGCCCTCTGTCAAGTTCTGCCCTGGGCATGGAGCCTGCTTGAGATTCTTTGTCTCCCAGTCCTTCTCCCTCTCTCTCCCTCTCAATAAATAAATAAACAACTACTATCATTTTCTAATCTTTTTTTTCCCCACAAGTATCCATTTTTTTCACATAGTTGAGAACATAATATATACATAGTTCTGTATGTGGGCTATTCTCCTAGGTTTATATTAAAAACATTTCTCCAGCCTGCAAAATGGTCTTCCTAATGTTTATTTTAATTGCTGTGGTGCATTTTCTCAAACAGATATATCATATTCTAATAATCGTGACCTGATTGACTTTGACTTAATGCCTATTTTTCTTTCTTTTTTTTTTTTTAAAGATTTCATTTATTTATTCATAAGACACACACACACACACACACACACAGAGGCAGAGACACAGGCAGAGGGAGAAGCAGGCTCCATGCAAGGAGCCCGACATGGGACTCCATCCTGGGACTCCAGGATCACGCCCTGGCCCGAAGGCAGGCGCTAAACCACTGAGCCACCCAGGGATCCCCTAATGCCTATTTTTCACTGTTAGCTACTGTGGTTTAAAAATTAAAAAAAAAAATTAATGTAATATTTGCATAATACTTTGTTACTGAACACTAAATTTTAATTTTAGATAAATTATTTAGATAGATTTCAAGAATTGGTAATTACCTGTTTTTTCTTTTTCTAAATTTCCCTCATGAAAAGAGTTCTTCATTTTTCTTACTGTGAATCAAAGGCTATAGTCACCATGTGCTTAATGCTAACAAAAACATGTGGTCTGGACTAGGGGTCAAAAAAATGAGGCTGCCTACAGCTCAAAACTGAGAACAAGTTCAGAGCCATGTCCTCACTGGGGCTTTGTAGCAAGTGTGAATATCAGTAACCAGAGGATCAGAGATCTTCCTCTGTGTCTTGATTCAACCTTGAACCCTTCTCTTCTGCATGTTTAACTTCCTACAGATGTATAGTCTATAAAATCAAATTAAGGTGTTGATTCATTTTTTAAAACGATTTTATCTATTTGAAAGAGTGAGAGAGAGTGGGCACAGGCAGGGGGAAGTGTGGAGGGAGAGGGAGATACAGACTCCCTGGGGAGCAGGGATCCCAACTTAAACCTGGATCCCAGGCCCCTGGGATCATGACCTGAGCTGAAGGCAGATGCTTAACAGACTGAGCCCCCCAGGCGCCCCAACACCTATTCCTTTTTAAGAAGGGATATATTTGAAA